TGGGGGGCAACAACTGGCACTGCAACTGCTCCCTGAAGGGCTTGCGGGACTTCTCCCTGCAGCACCCCGTGGTGGTCCCACGCTTCGTGCAGTCTGTGGCCGAGGGGGACGATGCCCACGTCCCCATCTACACCTACAACAACCTCACCTGCCTCCACCCCCCTGCTGTGGCTGGCCTGGACCTCCGCGACATCACCGAGGACAGCTTTGCTCACTGCTGAGGTGTGCTGGCCCTTCCCAGGGGACACACTGCTTCCTGGTCGTGGACACTCACCTGCCACCTCCCTGGCCCTGTCCCAGGCTTCCCGGGGCAGCAGCAGAAGCTCTGGCTCTGTGGCCACCCCACATTAGTCCAGCTTTGCCACCACCTCAAGCTGCCCATCTTGGTGCTGCCACGTCAAGGAGAGCCATGCCTGGGTGATGCTGGATGGACACTGACTCCCCAGGCTTCAAACTGAAAAATTTCAGTCCTTTAATATTTAAATAGCAGCCCCTGGGTCAGCATGGTTGCCACCAGCTCCCATCAGGAGCACAAGCATCTCTGAGCTTCTGGGATGGGGGAAAGCTGCACCCCCAGCCTGCAGCCCTCCCCACTGCAAGAGGCATCACTGCCTGGGCCAGGACTTATCAGTGGGACAGAGCAAAGCATCTTCCTGCTACAGAGGAGCCAAGAAATCCTAAAAGCCCCCCCCAAGCTCTCCAGTAGGTTTAGGGAAGGGGGCAGACGACTTGCTTTAATCATTCCTTGCACTAGCAGGTGTAGGCAGGGTGCAGAAAGCCACACACGTCACTTACCTGATAAATCGTAGCAGACAAATAAACCTTTGGAGCTATCGCAACCCATCTTGTAAGTATGTTTTTTGCAAAGCACGTGCTGCACCTGGCTGGGGTTCCTTATCAGACCCTCTCGGGGCTTGCAGACACAGGGCAAGGAGTGCAGGCTCCCCAGAGTGCTGGAGGAGTGTGCGGCAAGTTTTCTGCAAGCCCTGGGTGGGTGGTATATGCTCATGGAGGGAGCGAGAGGTGCCTGGCCATCCTGCAGAAGCCAACAGCCCAGTCAGTCCCGAGCACTGCTGCCCAACTCTCCAAATCCCAGATAAGTGACCAAAGGTCAGACAAAATTTTCCTGGAAAGTTACACATGGGGAAGCCTGGTCAAGTGCAAGTCCTTGCTGCGGGCACAGCGGGAACAGGGACAGATACTCCTCCTGCTCTCCTCCAAACAATGGCTGCCAGCTATAATCCAGTTTGGTTAGTGGAAATCTGAGATTTCTGCCCACCTCCCCGAAACAGCCCTGTAAGGGCAAGTCCCAAGCGTGGAGAGAGCATGCAGGCAGCAGGAGCTCAGAGTCCAGGAGCAAGGGAGATAAGATGCAAGGACACCACCTTCATTTGCTTCCCCAGCTTAACTCAAGCCTGCAAGAGGAGGGCAGGTCCCATGGGAGCAGCAGCTCTGGGGCCATGGAAGGAGGTCCAAGTGAACAGGACATTTGGAGCAATGATGCAGGAACCACCCAGGGACACAAAGGAGCGCCACGTGTGGCAGTGGTGCAGAGAAATCATCCTGCAAAGGACTGCCAGGGCCAGCTTTCAGCAAGACAACGGACCAGCCAGATCATGAAGCTGGTATGGAAGGACAGAAGATTTAGCTGAACCTCAGCAAGGAAACTGGGGAAAAGTAGGAAATACCTAGATGTATGTGAAGTCATTTGTAATACCAAGACTCACAGCTACAATGAGGCCTGAAGCCATGGAAAAACGTCAGAGACTTAGGTTTTAGGAAAAGTGTTTACTGCCTGGAATGTTCAAAAATATTCCTGAGTCACGATAACCCCCAGCAGACCAAAAAGGCCTTGTTTGCAGCACAGCAGGATGCAAGCCTCAAGATGCATGGTAGGTCTCCTAAAGACGTTTTCTCATGCGAAGCACGTGCCATGCCCTCATCGGCCCATCAGGAACCACTGATCTGAGATTCTGGAACAAGGTGGCCTGGCTTGGGTCCACATCAGAGCATCCAGCACAAACTCAGCAGCCACTGAACCAAGTACCATATAATCCGTCACACAAGGAAAGCAGTAGAAGGCAGCAGCACATGGAGCCACAATCCAGATGATTGGTGCCGTTTGGGTTGAGGGAAGAACAGTCGATAGTGTTTGCCACTGTAGCTGCATTGGGTGACTGCCAGAAGCACTGCAGCGTATGAGATGCCGCGGACACAAGCTAGAGCTGCCCAAGTACCTGCATAACGGCTGGCTGCAGGGGAAGGTGCTGCGTGAGTGGGGCTAGAAACAACTACTATCTGAGCAGAGCACTGCCACGTTGAGAAGGCAAGAAGCTGGCTGCCACTGTGTGGGCAGGAGCACCCACGCAAGGTCTCTTTGGATCTGGGAAGATGGAGCAGTACTTCCCTTTTTGCACCACCATGAGCAGCACAAACGCTGTGCTACCCCCTACCTGCACCAGCCCCCCACTAAGAGAGTTTTATAGTTAAACAGCTTCTGTATCCCCCTTCCTCGCCGGCACAGGCTGCTGGTGGTGCTGCCAGGCTAAGGGCTCAGCTGACAAGGGTCCAGCTCCACACCCTCCTCAGGAGCTCCGTTGCAACGTACCATCCAAGATCTGCTGGGCAATATGAGCCAAGGCAGGGAAGGCAGAGCTCTTGGGAAACTCTTGGATGAAGTCTCTGCCTTCTTCCAAGCTCTGGCTGAGTTGGGGGTCCAGGGGAACACAGCCTGTGGGATAGGAGGAACAGGGAGAGTGATTCCTTGCTCATTGTAAGTCAAAGGCCTGGAGTCAGGATTAAAGAAATACCCTGCCAGAGTCATCTCCAGGAGAAGTGGTAGGAAAGAGAGCAACCACTACCCTCACTGAGCTCTCTAGGAGCTGCTTCTCACCTGCAACACCTTCCTCTGAGTCCAAGACCCCACCACACCACAGTGCGTCACGAGAGACGCTCTTGCCCGGATCCACTGCCCTGGCCGGAGGGCAGGGTTCAGCCCTCAGCCTCCATTTCTCAGGAAGGCTCCAGGACATTTCAGGATGGCTCTCGTGCAGCTTCAAGCTTGCTTACTCTGTCACCACGACGCCAGCAGCCAGAGTAGGCTGCTGACCATCACTGCCTCTGCCCTGGCAGGGCCAGATGCCTGCTCTGAGCGGTCTGGATGGCAGAGGAAGCAAAGCAAGAACCACACCTCACCTCTGACCAGGTGCCAGGGGCTCACAGGGACCGGAGTCCAGCCTGCCTGCCCCTGTGACACTGCCTCTCTCTGCTCAAGCACTCCCACAGCACCACACAGACATCACCTTGAACTACAGAGAGCTCTCCTTAAGTGGCCACTCACCTAGGAAGGGGACCCCAGCATGCTTGGCCAGCTCCTCACCTCCCCCTTTGGAAAAGATGTTTGTACACTCCTGAAGGAGGAAGAGCAAAAGCAGTGAGTAAGAGCCCTGTGTGACAGGGCAGGCGCTGCCTGCAAGTGAGTAGAGCCAGCCCCCCTCCGCCTTCTAGCCTCGGGGCACTGCCTTTGCCCCTGCCCTCCCCCAGCTCTCTTTAGGAAAGCAAAGCCAGTGGCTTCTTCCAAAGTTGACAGGCAGCAGCCAGCAGCTTCTCGTCTCCCCGGCTCACAGCATCTCCCTTGTGGCATTTGCCGATCTTCCACCCAAAGCACGGCATCCTACAACACCCCATCACAAACAAAAACGTGCAATAGCCCAGATGTCACAATAAACTCACCGAGCAGTGCGGACAGACGAAGCCACTCATATTCTCCACAATGCCAAGAACTCGTAAGCCCATCTTCCTACAGAACGTGAGCTCTCGCCTCACATCTCCCACAGACACAGCCTGCAGGGAAGAACAGCACAGGTTGGGGGGTATCTGTCTGTCCAGATGGACCGTGGGTCTCGAGCAGGCATGCATCAAATGAGAGGCAGATGTGTAGAACAGGCAGCCACAGAGAAGCCTGCGCAAACACCCACCTGGGGTGCATATTCCCCGCCAAACCATGCCCAGAGGCAGAAGCTGCCCTGCCAGCTGCCCTACCTGGGGTGTTGTGACCAGAATTGCTCCAAGCGGCTTGTAGGGTCGCAAGGCCTCCACTGTGGAGATGTGCTCGTCAGATGTGCCTGGTGGCGTGTCCACAATGAGGAAGTCCAGGTCCCCCCAGGCCACATCAGCAACAAATTGTTTTATCAAAGCTACAGAAATAAAAGGGGAAGAAAAAACAAAAACCCAACAGGTTTCAGCAGGTGCCCTGGGAGCTGTGGACCAGGCAGGGCAGGGGTTGGGAGGCATCCTGGGTGACAAGGACTCAGGGAAAGATGGCAGAGCTATCTGTCAGCGCTCTCCCCATCCGAGTGATCTGAACTCACTCCTGCAGAACAGGAGCTTTGTTCCTCCAAGGAATGACCTGTTCAGAAAAGATTGGCCCCCAGCAGGAGCCAACACAACCTCTGGGAGGGTTCACAGAAGGTTCCTAGCACTGGAAGGTGGCCACTAACAGCAAAAACCAACTGTACCGTTTTTTTTGGGTCCTCTCCACACCACGGCATCATCTGGCTTCTCCAGGAGGAAGCCGATGGACATGAGCGAGATGCTCTTGTCTTGGTCCACAAAGACAGGGACCCAGCCACTGTCACACTGGTGCACGCCGTTCTCCTGCACCCTGAACATGCGGGGTATGCTGGGGCCACACAGGTCCACGTCCAGGATCCCCACCTGCAGGCGATGATGAGGCAGAGCCCTTCAGACAAGGCTGAGCACAGCAGCAGCACCCAGCCATGCTCCTTTCCTGGGTGCAGGGAGGCAGTGTCCCAATTTTGGCTGCTTGCAGCACTTTACAGAACGGACTCTGTAGCTCAACAGCCAGATTTAAAACACAGTTTTAACGAACTGCTTTGAAGTTTGACTGCCTTCTCAGTCTCTTTCCCTCTGAGGAGGATCTCCTGTGTATTTCCAGACACCTGTCAGGATCCAAGTGGCATTGGCTGCACAGAGCCTTTAAAAATTCCTCAGGGAATTCAGCCTGTCTCATGCCCACACAGTTCCCCTTTGCCCCCATCATAACACCACCCTTCAGCTCACCCACTTCACTCCACAAAGGAAGTGTGTGTTACACCACAAACCAGCGAAGTAATTCAGTTTCAAAACCAACAACAAATCCTGGGTGATTTTAGTCTCTTGGATGAAAGTGAAATGAACTGCAGTTACCTGCGCTGAATCGAGCAAAGGCAGAAACAAAAAATCACTTGAACTGTTATCACAAACAGCATTTTCACATGGACAATCCATACACTCCCTGAACAGGACACACGCATACATAAAGGATGAGCAAAACCCAGCCCAGCTGGAGGTTGGGAAGGAGAAGACAGAGCTCAGCATCCCACAGACCCTCGCTCACCTTCTTTCCGGAGTGCCGCAGCGACAGAGCCAGCTCGGTGGAGATAGTGCTCTTCCCCACACCGCCCTTTCCAGAGAGCACCAGCAGGATGTGCTGCACCCCAACCAGGTTGCTCCTCTCTGGTAGGAACAATAATGAGGCATCAGAGTCTCTTCTGATGCAAGACAGCAGCACCCGACCGGTCAGTGCAGAGACATGGGTCTCCACTGAGGGTGATGGTGGCTGTCACGGCTCCAACAAGTCTCAGTTAAGCGTAAGGGAGAGGAAAAGAAGATGTGGATGTGCCACAGCCCTTTTGCCATCAGAAAAGGGACAAGAGAAATGGCAGTAAACAGTCTGCGGGGAGTAAAGGCTTTGTGATGATGACCTAAGCAGCAATCAGGCAGCAAAAGCTATAAACACCCACAGGGCCTCGTCATGCTGTGCCTTGGCCAGGTTCAGCCCAAGCCATCTCAGAGAACGGCTGGAGGCTGTTGGTGAGGTCAGGCCCTTGGCGTTTCCTTCCTCCATGCCACACCAGTCACCTCCCCACAGTCCCATGCTCCTCTCCAGTCTTCGTGCTGTTTCTCGCCGTGTTGTCAGCGCTGCTCGGGTCTCTGCTTTGGGTTCAGCTGCCACATCTCGTCAACGTGGAAACGACAGCGGGGAATGCTCGGGGCTGGCTTCCCCAGCCCGGGGCTGCGCAGGTGAGTGAGGGTTGGACCGGGTGCTCCAGCACAGCCAAGCAAACGCCACCCACCCGGGCCCGCGTACCCCGGCGTCCCGTCACCACCGGCCACT